AGGCTGCTTTGCTTTCAAGGGCGAGAGGGCTCAGGGCTCTCACAAGCCTTCTCCTTCCAGCCCTCACACCGCATGAGAGCTAAACATCACCAGCACACAGTGGTCTGGCCGTGAGAATCCATGTGTAATTTTTTCTGAGAGGCAGTATTTCTCTCTCAAAAGGTCCAGAAAATTCTAGCCTCCCAAGGGCTGACCTTGCGTCATCAACGCCCCCATTTTCTGTCTTCTCAACTCTGGAACCGAGTTAGGGTCCGTGACTTAGGACTTTCCCAAGGTTTCTGGGCCTGACGCAGCCAGCAGAAAATGTGTCCCCCTGCCCCCCGACTAGAGGAAGCAAATTCCTTTAAATATCCTCAGTCACCGCAACACTTGGGCTTTTGTCTTTGTTTCCAAGCATGGACAAAAGTGCTTCATAGCTAACTGTGCTGAAGTTGATAACACTCAGTCACACCCTTTCTGGACACAAGAGAGGCACAAGGGGATAATTTTCTCCTAAAATGTAAAACCAGGTCTGCAGGCAGTTCCCAAAGAAAAATGCACTACATATTTTGAACAATGACATCATCATGAGAAAAAATATATGGTGAGTCTCCCAGGGAATCTATTTTTAATAGATTCCAAATCCAAATATCTAAAATATGATAATAGCCCCTGTCTTTTAAGCATTTCTCTCAACAGCTAATTAAGTAAAACCTCAGCTTTCAGTTACATATTATTGTGCCCATTTTGCAGATGAAGGAGGCCCAACCGACTTACACGTCCCCACCATGTGACTTTGAAAGAGTTATTCAGCCCTTCAGATCTGATCCCAGAGCCATGTGTAATATATTAGATAACTTTATACTAATCAAACAGATGACAAATAATCTTCAAACAAATGTCATCATTTTTTCTCTCATTTTTCTGCTGGGAGATAGACGTGCCAATACATGATACATGGGTCATTTTTTTCACATTTGAAGGGATTTCATCGTGTATGAGAAAGGCCCCTTCCCCTTTCTTTATTTTATTTATTTATTTATTTTTTGTATTTTGAACTTCAGGGAGAAAGGGGAAAGAGAAGAAAGGTCACTGGACTGAACACCAGGAGTCCCAATTTCCTGCCTCTCATTTAGCTCCCTGAGACTTGGTTTCCTCATCTGTAGAACAGGGTGGTCAGATAGACCCTCTCTAGGATGTGAGGCTCTTTACAAATGATTAGCATAAGCCCAGATTTCCAATTCCAGCTTCTGGTCAAAGGTCCTCCTTATTGGCCCAAAGCATATTTTATGCTCACGGAGGAGCCGTCTGTCATCCCACGACTAAAAATACACAATGCTTCGTAAATCAAGTTCAACGTTAAATCGCACTGCAGACATAAAGTTTTACACAGTTAAGATGTTGGCGTATGGGATTTAATGAGCTCCATATGCCTGACCTCTGGAAAGAAATGATTTTGGGGGCTGAAGCTGTGGAAGAGCACAAGGGCATCAGCATCTGGTGTGAGTTACTCAGAGTGGAGGGAATCGACCACATTTTTGTAGTATGGCCAAGCTGGGGAGGCAGGAATACCATGTAGTCTGTGTGCTCACCTTCTCAGGTAATGCTGATAATTTTCCAGTTTCTTCTCACTCTTCAGGAAGTTGTGGAGTCGGGTGGATTCTGCCTTCCTTTTGCAGGTGTCCCATGCCCTTGAATCCACAGGGTTTCAGGTCTGCTGTGTTGGACATGTCGGTGACTTTGACCATTTGTACTTGTTTTGGTCAACTCTGCTACTCCTTAAGGGGCCTGTCTAAAACCCGGATCTCCCTTATTGAAAATGTTCAGGTCTCCTCATTGCTTATACACTCATGGCATCTTGGTGAGTTGAACCCTGAACCCATTTGTCCAGATTCTTTGGTCATTAGTCCCCATTCTTGGCATGCTGTGCTCATTTGGAGCCCATCACCAACATTCCAGTCTCATCATTCTGAGCCTTTCCTCATGCTCTCTACTCTGCACAATTCCTGCCACCTCTTCTCCATCTGGAAAGCTCCTAATCAGTGCAGCTCAAACAACACATTCCCTGGGCTGTTGCTGCCCCATGTGTGGTTAGTCTTTGCCATTTCTGTGTTCCCATAGCCCTTAGATGCAGTTAGGACTAGAAAGGAGGGGTGTATAATCCTCACCAGTGAATCAGAGAGGTCTTCATGAGTGAAAACATGTCTGATGCTTTCCTTTATTTTTCTGAGCAGAGCAGAGTTGGCTCTCAGTAAATATTTGCTGAGTGCACAAATAAAGGAATAAATGAGTAAACAGAAAGGACTTGGAAACCAAGCAGAGTTCGGCCTTTTGGAGCTTCTCCGCCATACTTCTCTGATTATTCTGCACGTGATCGTTTTATGTCGATCCGGGTTCCTGACGTGCTTACATCTTTGTTGAGGCTACTGTCCAAGGACAGAAAAACAGCTATTGATCCTCTGACTTCAGGAATTTGCTATGAAACAGCACACAAGAGAACAACCCAGGAGACTCTCGTGTCTTCTCAAAACGCTCTTGCTCCCTGAGCTCGATAAGCATGCATGGATGGACACTTGCCATAGAGATGGGCTTCGAATGCAGCTGTTCGCTGTGCAGTTTTGCACATACATAGGTCTCCCCAACTAGAAACTGAGCAAAGGCAATAATTTAGGTCTTCTTTTATAAAATAAGGATTCGATTCTACTCTGTTTGTCCCTGTCTTTATTTCAATTTATTTTTAAACCCCGAAATACACTAACCATGAATTAGCACCTGTCTTCTTGATACCAAATCCTAAAAATAAAGAATATTCATATTTTGGAGATTCTTAGTATTAATAATATGAAAGAAATTTTCAGAAGACTTGATAGTACTGTTTTAATAGGACAAAGTAACTTGCCAATGGATTGTCTCATGTGACCCTTGCAACAGACTTGTGAAATGGATGGGCAATAATAAAGATCCCTGTTTTATAGATGAGAAAGGTGAAGCCCGTGGAGCATAAGTGACATATACAAAGTCACCTAGCTAGGAAATGGCCATGCCAGCACCTGAACCAGTTGTGGTTATTAGGGTAAACCTGCCTCTTTTTATAAGCACTTGTAAATTAAAGGGCACTCACATGGTCATAGGATAGTTTGGGCCATCTTGCAAGTTCCTAGCCTCCCAAGGCATACGATCTGTGCTGGGGAAACTGGTTAGTGGGGGCCTTCTCTGGCTCATTGTCATGCTCTAATATGATTGTGAGAGAAGAAGGGATTGAGAAAGGAAAACACTGAAAATCGACCCTTCATTCGACCAAAGGCTTTTTGCAAATGCAATGGAAGTCACTTGGAGAAAACATCACATTGTGGGATTGAGGGGTTTTGTTTGGTTTGCTTTTTAACCTGGGGCAACTCCCTTTATTCACTCTCAGACATTCAGACAATGATGAAGAAAACAGTGATTTCATTTATTTGACTCACTGGCTCCTCTTCCGAAAAGGTGCAGGTGGTAAATGTGTTAAGAACTCACTTTAAAACAATGGACAATTTAAAATTCAGTAAATCAGGTGTTCCCTGTTTAGCCTAATCTTGTTAAAATAATGGAATTTGAGAGTTTAAAACATAGCTTGTTTCAGAATGATGCATGAGTTCTCAAAAACCTTGTTTAACATATTGCTGGAATAATGCATATGAGATGGTTAAAAATGGAAGTAGAAAAAAATCTCCAACACCCTTAGAGGAATTTGCAATTCATAAAGTTACTGACAATTTTGCATTATAGTTGCCATGGTAACCATGCTAGGCTTCTGCTAAAGTGTTTCTCAAAAAGGGAAGGAATAGTATATAATAAGCTCTTCAGTGTAATTTTTTTGCGGTAGTTGAATTAGTGTGTAATTCTTATGTGAGTATTTTAGTAATCCATGAACACACACTCCAGTTACGGTTCTGATTTCTTATCTCCATGTGTTTAAGCAATGCATGAAAAGTTGCTGGCTACTAGCAATATTTGGTAATTAATTACAAAATATCAAGAAAAAGCATTATCCACAGTAATTAATGATAAAACTGAAAACAAAAAGCATTTCAAACTCAACCATAGTAAATTTCCCAGACCAAAGCACTAGCTTGCTCATTGAGTCAAAGTGCTCTCCGCCAAGCTTTTAGGCTGCATTCACAAGTTGACCCTTGCCCCGCTCCACCCTTTCGTCAGAAGAATCCTATGTAGTGAATAGATGAGGACCAATTAGGCTAAAATAATACTTTAATTTGGCCGTTTGGACAGGGAGCTATTTTTAAATGGTAATTGACTCTGTGTGTGTGTGTGTGTTGTTCTGTTTCTTTGGAGCCAGTCTAACGGCTGAGTCCAAGTAATACTTATCTGGTCAAGGAGCTGAGGTCGTTCAGGGTTTGATTTTACATGGTCAGTCTTGACTACAGAAGAGATGGGGTTTTGCAGCCAAGCAGACCTGGATTGCATCTCAGCCCCTCATTGTACTAACTGACACCTCGGCAGGTCCTTTAACATCTATAGCCTCAGTTTCTTCACTTGTATAAATGAGGTGATCATGCTTTTCTTGCATTGTTTGTCAGGATTAGAGATAATAGGACATAAAACACTTTGCCCAAAGTTTGGCACAGTGTACCAGTTCCCTATTGTTGCTGTAACGAATCACCACAAACTTAATGCCTTAGAATATATACTTATTAATTTATTGTGCTAGAAGTCAGAAGTCCAGGTAGGTCTCAAGATAAAAATCAAGGTGTTGGCAGGCTGCCTTCCTTTCTGCCTTTTCCAGCTTCTAGAGGCACCTGCACGCCTTGGCTCCAGGACCCCTGCCCTCCATCTTCAAAGCCTGCCATGGCTGGTGTGTCTTTTTCACATCTCACCACTTTGATGAGGACTTTCCTGCCTCCTTCTATTGCCTTTGAGGAACTTTGTGGTCATGTTATGCCCTAGCAGATAATCCAGGATAATCTTTCTATTTTAAAGTCAGTTAATTAGAAACCTTAATTCCGTCTGTAGCCTTAATTCTCCTGTGTCATTGTAACAAAGCAATGGTTTCTGAGCATTTATGGTTTCCGAGGATTACGACGTCTTTGGAAGTGGGACTGGGGATCATTATTTCACCTGCCACACACAGCAAGCACAAGTAAATGGTAACTACATGCTTTTCTATGGTTCTTATTATTTGCAGTGTTAGTAATCGTAGTACTTACTCCATCTAATAGGGGGCTAAACAGGAGTTGCCAGAAAAGAGAGAACTGTCCAAATCCAGAGCATCCAGATCAAATGTCAGCCTGCATGAGGTTTTATGGTCACTTTCTGTGTTCTGACAATCACACTCTAACCGATTTGAGTGGGTCCTTCTAGGTGGAACCCCTACCTGGGCAGCTGCCACTGGACTGGGTTTCATTTCCCAAGGTTCTTGCTTTAATATGTTCTTAATTATAGGAAACCTTATTTCATTAGTATTGATTTTTAAAAAAAAAAATCTTGTCAAAATGCACTAATTCCTGAAACCCAGGAATTGCCTCTCAGGAGGCAAGGCTTCTAGGAAGAGGACAGCAGGAGTTCCTGGTGATGCCCTCCTCGGAGACAGGGTCTCCAGACTCTGAGGCAGCACCAGTGCCTGTCAGCCCTGCACGGGAGCAAGGTGGGAAGGGGCTCACCATGGAACTGGCTGTGGCCAGTGAGTTGTTGGAAAGCGTGACGTAACCACAGGCTCAAAAGCACTTGTGCCATTGGGCTTGTTCTTATTCCTACCCTCTTCATTCCACAAGAGTGTCTGGCCTTGCCTGATGGGCGACTAGAAACACTTGGGACAGAGGCCAATTAGCCTGGTCATTGCAGCCAAGGACATTCTATGTCAGCTGAATGCCAGCTGACCCCCACCCATTGATATGCTTCTTTCTACATGTGAGAGTGTGCAACAGGGACCAGGAGAACTACCCCGCCAAGCCCAGCCAAAATCAGCAGATTTGCCTGATCAGCCATCCCAGAGACTTGAGCACAGGCTGCTTATTGTTGTGTTCCACTGAAGTGTTGTAATTGGGAGTCAGGACTGTTGCGGGATCAGTCAATGAGACAGCTTTAAAGACTTCATCCTCATATTCTTTCTTCTTAGCAACCACACTTTCATTTTTCTATGACATGGTGTATGTCTGCCCACTTGATGTTCTCACGTATTCTACAATTTCTTTGGAAGAATGCAATAACTGAGTTGTTTGCTTCTGGTGGATTCCTGCTTCTGAAAGACTTGGATCAAAACTGCAAGAATCTGATGGGTTCTGTGAACTGGAGGGGGAGGGTCATTGATTTATCTGCCATTTATTGGGTGCTCGAGTGTGGGCTCTGTATCAGATCATGTCTGATCATGGCGCTGGGGAAGGGAAGGTAGCAAAGGTAAAGAAGCCTGTTCATGCAGACTCTGTGCCCTACTGGAGGATGCTCCAAATGGGTAAATAGAAAAAAACAGTCCAATGTGGGAAGTACTGATGCAGAGGGATGAGCACAGTTCAGTTTATTTTCAAATCTAGGGAGACACACGTTTTGATGAAAATACCTAAATTAAAGAAATACTTATGAACTATTAGATTGTTCATTCATTTGTTAAATACATGTTGAGCACCTAGTACAGACAAAATAGTAAACTACAGGTTTGGAAGCTATAAAAGTAAGTTCTGAAAGGGTTTATAACCCAGAATAGGACAGCAGCAGAGAGAATGATTAAAAATCAAAAAGAATCTCCTCGTTAGGAAAATCATGAAGTGCGTTAAGGATGCCATGGAGTTTAAGCCAGACTTTGAAATCAGGCATAAACCTCTGACTTAATATCTACCCAATAAAATAGATCTATGCAGTCAAGACCTCTGGCTGTAAGATTTGGGGGAGAGAAAGCTGAAAGATGCTGTAGGAGAAGAGAACCTAGAAATAGTAAGGGCTAGAGGCCGGCTCTCTTCAGGCAGTGTAACGCCCTGGTTGTGTGACTCTCACCAATTTACTTAGCGTGGTTTTCTCCTCTCAAAATGAGGAAACTGATTCTAGATGATCCATCCAGACCCTTCTAGCCTAACGACCCTGAGTAACCTAATTAAATTACTCATTATGCGCTTAAATGCTTAAACACATAAAATGCCTGATATTTTCCATTAAGGATAAACCAGCATGGGCTCAGTCATTGGGTGTCATATTTAAACTGATACCATTTGAATATTTCACACATTTCAGTTATTCATACACATACACTTCAATCTTAATACTGCAAACACGGTAAGAGGAGAATTCTGTTCTTGGGCTGAATCATCAGTCCGAGTAAAGGGGGGGGGCTTGTGCAGAAGTTGTAATGTAGCACAGAGCACAGGGCATCTCACAGACCCAGGAGCCCATGTGGGCGCTGTCACCGGCAACACCACTGAACTCCCATGTGCCCCCATGTACTAATCTCCAAAGTGGGAATAATAATCCTGCTTCAAAAAGTGAGGTGCACACAAGGTAATATATTTGATGTTGCTCATTAATAGTTCGTGGTGGGTACCATATGAGCGAATAAGTGAGTTCTCTGCATGAGGGTAGTGCTTCCTCTGCACAGGAGATGTGTGCCTGAAAGATTGTATGCGATTTGAATTTTTTATGCCTCTTTCGTACTTGAAGTGTGCTGCTTTAAAAGTTCCTGCTGTGATTCTTTTTGCCAGACAATTGCTATTTAGATTACATGAAATTTGAATTTATAAAGCATAACAATTATTTCCTTAAAGAATAGATTATAAAACTGCTTTGAATGTTGAATAAACTGCTGGCTTATTTAAACCCACTACTTGCTTTACCCCTCTTTCTAAATGAGATGTTCTTGGAGGCGCCAGTGTGCGCAACTAAAAGACTCCTTTTCGCAATGCTTTTTGTGTGTGTGTAGAGGGGTTGCCCTGTGCTATAAGTGGAAGGCAAGGTAAGGCATCAGAGAGAGTCCCCCTTGACCCCCTCACTTTCGCCTGTTCCCCATTTGGAACGCAGGTGGGATGTCTAGAGACCCAGAGATATTTTGCAGCTTTGGGAGTAGACGTCACACACTGAAGGTGGTGGAGGAGCTAAACAGAAATTTGCCGCCATACCAGCCTGGGACTGACTGTCTTTTGACTTTTCTTTCTGTGAGAAAGCAATAACCATCTATTTTTTAAAGCCTTTGTTATTTCTGTTGCCTGATAGGAGCAGCGTATTGCAGTTGCTAATAGATGCACTTAGCAATATTGGTGACTTTGTCAGATTCAGTGGGCTTGGGGTATGTGTTTCTGAATCAGAAATCAGAGTACCAGTTGTGCCCGATAACGCCCTCCTCCCCAAATGGATCATCTGTGCAGGACCCCATCAGACTAACCAGCTGATAACCAACAGTGTTGCTGATTGTCGGTAAAGTTTATCAAAATTCACTCAGGTGCTGGGGACACATGTAAGAAAGGTCCCTAGTTTTGTCTTAAAGGACCAGGAAAATCTTCATTATGAAGGACAACAGCAGTTATCTACTTTGTTTGGGATAAAGCGGAATTGGGAGGGCAGAGGGAAGGGCATTCCAGAAAATGAACGAGGTTTGCAAGGAAATAGAGTTAGACGTGAACTTGGTCTATTTGAGGGAACTGCACGTAGTCAGCAAGTAATAGGAACTCAGTATTCAGAGGTAACAAATAGAGAGGGGAGGGAGGCTGCCACTGAGGCAGGAAACCAAGCAAGGGAACCATCAAGCAGAATTTAAAATCACGTTTAGACATTTTGTTCTATCCTACACAGAATGAGCTTCTATTTTGAAAGACCATTGTGATGGCGAGGATGGGGAAGGATGGGGCAGGCATGATTTAGTTGTTTCGGTGGACCACGTACGAGATGAGAGGACTAAGTTACAGGGTGTTACTGGACATACGGAGAGCAGACACACTCAGGTAATACTATGGGTTAGAACCAATAGGACTTAATGAATTATTGGGTTAGCGCTGAGGAAGACGCCTTGGTTTCTGGCTCGGGATCTGTGTTAGTGCTAATTTGAGACTCTCGTGAATGGCATATTTGCTGCTTCTTGTAAGAACCTTACATGTCTGCTTCCTATTTAGAAATAAGCTTGGTTAGAATTGGCTTAGTGAAAATTAAATTTTATTGATAAGAAGAGTAAGCCATCTGGCTATTCTCTGCCTGGTTGATATCTATTTCCCTGGGTATAATAAAGATGTAACCTCTGCTACAGGAAGCTATTACCTGATATTATTTATTTCCTGATAAAGAGGAGCAAATCATTCCTGGACATCTGCAGAAAATGAGTTTCTAATAAAGCTAAGGTAGTTAATGTCTAAATGGGAGTTTCTCTTGTGATGATAAATGTCTACTCTGTTGAAATAGTTTCCATAAAACTCAGTAGGTAAGAGAGAGGAGATATTGTATAATTGTCAATGAGGCAACAGAAGGATGTTTGTTTATTGGGTTTATAATCCACGGTGAACCCCAACTCATAAAATGAAGAGGTTTGGGCATATCAATTTAGCAACAGAAGCTTTGTTTCAGAAAAAATTATATTTCAATGTGTATTTAGTATAACATTCAGTGGATAATAGCAAAGAATGTGGAGGATGCCAGTGGGAAAAATAACAAGCAGCGGCCATGTGTGGGAGTACAATGTTAATGACTCTTAGAACAAATAATGGCACGTTACTGACCACTCCGTGTACACAGAGGGCTTTTGCCCCTAATTGCTCTGTGTAATTTTTGTTTGCAAAATCCTTCACTGCTGGATTTCTGTCTGTGCTGATGGGCTGTTGGAGTGTGGCAGCAATGGGTGAAGTACCCCTTTACCTGGTCCTTTTTCTCCCTTAAACACCTTGATGAAAATCACCAACTGCTTCTCTAGCATTGAATGTAACAGGAACTCACAAGACTAGTCTGCTATAGGTGAGTCTGTCACACTCAGTTGCTGGCCTGTCTCAGGTGCTTTCTCTAGACGCAGGTTGGGTGTTGGTGATCTTCTAGAAGTTTTTGTAGTCACTGGGCTCTTCCACCCTGTGGCTCTTCCTATCCTTGGACTGTTGTCCTGAGCCGCAGGGTCAAAGCCAGGCCATAAAGCGTCTGATCCTCTTTCCAGTGTCAGGGAATGGGAATGGAGGGCAACCAGCTTCCCTTGAAGAAA